AGTGACGTTCGAGGTCCTTTATAACGATTTAAGCGCGCCTCAGTGGACAAGTATTTGCAACACAGTGTTATGAGTTTTGTGAAGTTTTATGGTGTTTTAATGAGTTTATGAGTACGGAATATGATGGGAGGAATGATGCCCCCACGAGTTTTTCAGAGTTTTGAGATTTGTCGATGTACAGAGATATCGACGTTTTAAGAGTTGTTTTGTTTTCGTGTTGTTTTCCGGAATACTTTTGACGCTTTTTGAGTTAAGAGCACCTTTGTAACGTTTTTAATGTCTTTTTGAAGTGAGTTTGGTGCGCTCATATACGTATTGTTTGATAACGCAAGCTTTTGTTCATGATTGACAGGTTTATATGTAACTCAGTAGTTTCTATCGTTTTTGCCTTTCCAGTCTTTAATTGCCAGAGGAGTAATGTGTTATGATAGCTTTGTCTTTGCATTCCGTTTCCACGCCGTATGACTTTTGTTTAGATTAACGACTTGTGAGTTCAGTTGAAGTTTATAAGCGTATATGACAGGAGTTTGATTAATAGCTTTTTATTCATTGTTTATTAGTAACCGCTTTGCAATGCTTTAACCGAGAGACGCATCCCTGGTAATCACGTGATCAAGCTGTCGACTGCAGCGATTGGCTGATCGCTTGGTTACACCGCCACGCCTTAGTTTTTTTTGACCTTTTGATATAGAGTTTGTAACCTTAGTAACGAGAGACAGTGCAGCGAAGAGTCACTTCAGCGGACCGTTTTGAGAAAAGCGGGCCTAGTGGTAGCCTTTCCCTTGTTTTTGATTTACAACCATTGATATTTGTGACATTGTATTTAGACTTTATAATCATTGTACTTAATCAGTGTGTTTACTCTTTTTGATTTATATCCTTTTATTAGTATTGTATTTAACCTGTATGACGATGAGTAGAGGACGGTATCTTTGATTTGTGAACGTGCAATGCCGGGAAGCATAATCTCAGTTTGGGTGAAGGGATGTGTCATGAATTTGTTTTTGCGTATCTGTTAATCGACTTAATTAGCTGATTACGAGTGAATTGCTGTGTTATGTCTGTCATCATTTAGGCCTATTTGGAGTTTTGGACGGAACTTGGCTCAGTGATTTGGAACTAATTACGAGATAACCGTCGCTATTCTGACTACTCATTCTGACAGTTGGTATTCATAGTTATTAATGTAGTGAACGATTAATCAAAAGATATGACGTATTCAGTACTTAGTGTGATTGGCTTTATGATTGAAGGTTACGCCCTAGAGTATTTTTTCTGCTTTGTAATTGGTTAGAGTTTTGAAAATGAATAAAGAGAGTTTGAGTTGGTCTTGGCGAATACTCCACGACAGATGCAGTCTAAGTCCAGTCCTGGAGAGTCTTGGACAGAGTCTTGAGTCAGCCTTGCGATAGAATTGGGGATTTTCCCCAGGGCGCCGTGTCTTATAGAGTGCTGGAAAGACCGACTAAGACGAGAGTTGAAACGTATTTTGCTGTGTGTGTCTTATTTGACTGTAAAGCTTAAGTGACTTACCCGATCCCGCACCTCAAGGGGACAAGATATAGAGACGAGACGAGATTCCCCCCTGACACGTGTGGAGAACCCAGAGAGAAGAATTCCCCCCCCCCCCCGTGATACGTGGTGTGAGAACCCTGGGCATTGCATCTTACGCACATTGACATCCTGTGAAGAAAAGTGAAATGGCGAAGAGGTGTCTTTCTTGTGAACCGAACTAACAGCTTCATGGCAGAGACGACTCAGAAACCGCGCTTGACGACTAACGGTTTTACCAGTATGGCACTGATGAATGACGCTGAAGACATGAAGACTTTGGAGCCCCTTCGGAAGGACCAGTATAGAATAGGACTGTATAATTAAGAATTGAGCGACATTAAAGACAAGAAGAAGAACGACCCGGACTAATGCGACTAAAGAAGAAGACGCTTAGAGACTTTGATTAGAACTTTAGCTATCTGTGTATTGCTTAGAGAACCGCTCGTTGGACACTGTAACTGACACTGTGTAACTCAGGACGTTGAACTCTTTTCCACAATCCCAACACTATTGTTCAGTATGTAATGTATTGCTTGCTTTTCCTATCGTTTTTTCTTACCATTTTTTTTGTGATGTTGAATTGTATGTATGTAAGCGCCCAGATCTTAGTTTTGAAATGATATTT